CCCAGAAAATCAGATCGTTCTTGGTTTGTTTAGCTTAATGCTGCGGCGGAGCAGGAGATATAGAGAAGGGTAGGAGTCGGATGCAACATGAGACGGATAGTGGGGAGGATATAATTATGTGTAAAGTAAGCTTTTTTTCATGATAAGCTGGGTTCACTGCTGAGTTTATTTTGACACATCCGTACAGTTGGTTTCTTTTGCTACTGTAGGTGGGTAGACACTAACAGAAGCATATATAAGCTACAGGTAAGCTATTCCAGCTTACATGAAGCTCTACAGTAGTATATATTTTCGAAAGCCTACTTTTTCTCTCACATTATGTCAAGGCCATCCATATTTTTCGTGTGATTGTTATGTGAACGGGTAGAAGTCGTTGCAGTGCAATAATTTGAAATACCTTCACCAGTCGACACCATCACCGGGTATATCAAGTTATTTCGGCAATACGAAGCTGTACAGTTTTGAAAAAGTTATTTCTTCTTCAAGTACTTCTCTCTTTATATCAAAATTGCCATTATTTTTCGTGTCGATTGGCATATGAGCGAGAAGAAGTTGTTGTCTAGAAAAACAATTGAAATGCTTTCATCATAATAGGATAAAATTCACGTTAATACGAATCTTGGGATAGCTTTTCGCAATGAGGCCTTCAGTGACTTCAGAAAAGGTTCTTAGTATTTCTTTCGCTTGCCATTGTGGGCTAAGTGTAAGCGTTCCTTCGACGCAGTCGACATCGTTGACATCCCTGACGGACAGGAAATTTACGTTGAGCGCGTGACCGGAATCAAACTCTTCGTAGCATCCACGAATTCTCCGAAACTTGCCGAAGGCGACGCAAGGCGGGTGGAAGTTGTTACAAAAGTTGATGATGACGAGCCTGAACACGACAGCGCTGCACCGAACAGTCAGGCATCTGAAGGAACCGATAGTGACGGCACGCTGCCCGGTTCGACGGAGGAGGTCATGTCACCACCTATCATCAACACTCCCATTGGATGCGCTGAGAGCATGCTGCCAAAAGGTGAGGCCCAAACCAAGATCTCAGAAGAAGACAGTGTAGGTGTGAAACCTGGGGTAAACGAGAAGTGCTTAGCACCGACCAACGTCAGCGCTCAAAGCGAATGTGCTGGGGGCATGCCACTCAAAGAGAAGAGCAAGAACAAGACTTCGAAGAAACTGAAGCGCGAATAAGAATGGGCTTCCCACTTCGCCAACGACACTGGACCTTTTTACTTTTTCTCAGTTAAGAATTTGATATCTGCCGTCTCTAAATCCATTTTGAAATGTATCCCAGTGCTAATTTCGCATTGAGTACATGAACTGTATCAAGATGCGTGACTACCTAACGCTGGACGCATGGCGTTTGTGTCGTTGTATGTACTAACTGCATGGCGCAGTCTGCCCCGCCATTCTAGTTGCTTCAACCCCTGCAGCAGAAGTCGAACCCACAAGGTAACTTGAATGTGACTGGATCACATTCGTGTAAGGTCGCTTGAATGTCGTTCTAGGCCGCCTGGGTCAACATTCACTGATTCTGGCATACGAAATAACCGTATATTAGTTCCTCCGTCATATCTAGATAGAAATGTTCGCACCAAAGTTTTTGATAATTACAGATCTGACAGTACAAATGTTATTTGACAGGATCGTCGACGCTTTCCGATCGCCCCTAAAACTCTGGATATAAATATCCAGAGAATTTAAAGAGGTGTGTACTCTTTGTACAGGGTATTTCATGCATAAATAGGAAACGGTTAGGGGATACTTTTTAATCATCTCACTCCTTAGGGCGACTTCTATCGAAATTTACCTCTTTTTAAAGACATTCAAGTGTTGGTGTCCAACGGTTCAAACAGCAAATCACTTTCTTTCCCTTTCGATAAAAGTCTAACGGCTACTCAAGTGAGGTCAACTTTTTTTAGAACAGGTGAGGGGACCTTCTGTATCAGGTGGTGAAGAGTTGCCACAAAATCTAGAATTTAGGTACGAGTTGTGAGACATGGCTTCACCCCGCTATTCGTATCTCAACAGCCACGTATCCATATTTGCTGTCGTGACCAGTCTGATTTATCCAGTTTTGGATGCAAAGACACAATCATAACGGCAAGCATAATCGCGTAAAAACTCGTAAGAAATCGGGAGGGAGTCGCTTGAAATGCACTGATTTTTGTGTTGATTTAAGTGATCAGAC